AAAAAAAACCCCAGCCACAGAAATGCTGACGCGTGGATGCCTATTGGCCCCGGTTGGTGCCACCAACCGGGACCAAAGGCCCTCCTGCCTGGGCTCAGCAGACAGGCCACGTGGAGGCCCATCTGTCCCGGTTCTGGATTGAACTGGGACTAAAGGGTCAGGGCATTAGTACCGACCCTTTAGTCCCGGTTCATGAACCGGGACTAAAGGCCCTCACCAACCGGGACTGTAGGCCCTTTTTCTACTAGTGCAATCCTGTTAAACATAAGATAAATACAAAAAAAACCTATAGACAGAACGACATGACTGCATGATCATATGTAAAGTTGCAAACTGGACAATGTAAGTTCCATAATTCAACCCAAGAAAACTTCGGCAAACCAACATTTAGTTATTTAAATCAAAGTTCAGCTTATTTAATACAGAAGTGGCACTTGGATTAAGCATTTTTAAAACATGCATGCAGGGCTGCCGATACTAATTGGCAGGCCAACATATAAGAACAAATTTTGCTTCTTGTATTGCATATTTTCATAAAGCATGTACTGAATTGTCTGTGCAGAAAATGATTTGCCATAGATTGTCAAAGAGATTCTGTATAGTCCTTACATTCAAATAGCCTTAAAACTAACATAAAAATGCAGTAATCAATTGGCATAAAATGGTCTGCATACAATCCTCTGAAGTCTGCAATACAATACCAATTGGCAGGCCAACATTCAGAGAAGCATGTAATGAATTTAGCCTGTAGAAATTCAGAGAACAATGTTATGAATTTAGCTTGTATAAATTCAGAGAAGCATGAGTGGAGGAGCCAATTCTAACCTTTTTCTGGATGTTGTCTACCTTTTCTGAGGGCCTCAACGGGGCAGCGGCGGCGATCGACTGGAGGAGCGATAGCAGCCTGCTTTCGCATCCTTGGGATTATATAGTATTTTATTGCCAACATGGCATGAACAGACGGCCAGAGAATTAGTATTGAAGTTTTACCTCTTACATATACACCTAAATTAAGCAAGTATTCAGATACACAACGGTAACCAAATGTGATACGCGTCAATATAAAAAAATGATCCCAAATATATATGAAATAAATAGATAATGAAACAAATCACTTCCAAGCAATAAATATGTGCTCTTGGAGATTCTAGAACCGAGTTCCTGGAGCTCTTTGAGGTAATCATTCTTTTTGTAATCTAAAACATGAACACGTGGATGGTAACAAAAACTTTACTTTGCATTAAATATGTGCATGATCATAAATACAAGAGTTTCTGGTTGTAACGTGAAGGCGTCCAGCTGAATTGTAAAGGTTAATCCTGAAACTGAATCTAGTCATTTGCCCTTGATAACCTGCACATTCTCTTGTTAAGTTGTTAAGCACTAAAGATGACATGAACCAGCATATATATGTGCTGCTAAAAGACAGGTTCACATGTCCATTGACCAGCAGTAATGCAGTATACATGACGCATGTATCAGGGTATTACTATCCTTCCTCTTCATGGGATAACATAAAAATGGGTCATATAAGCGCTATTCTGGCAAATACTTTCCTGCCAGGCGTATGCGGACCAGGAGTCGGCTTTGACACCACCGGATGCTCAGCACTGTGATTCGATGGAAGAGTGCCAATTGGACGCCGTCCCGACTCTCGCCATGGTAAAGGCCCCAGCCCCAGCCTCTTCCCCCATGTCCTCGATCTCTCCATTATTGCATCATTCCAGTTTGGTCACAGAAACCATCCTCAACCTATGTAAGAAACACACCATTAGACAATCCATCCTTAATGAAGTTTTTGATGCGTCAACATGCTGTAATAAATAGCTAGAGGTTAGAAAGAGAGATCCTCCGCTCAAGCCTACTGAACAGAGAGGTTAGAAAGAGAGATTGGGTGTAGAGGCCTAGAGGGTGCAGTTGATCCTGCCGCCACCCACGCCCTTATGCCGGCACCGCCGCGACGCCTTGCTGCAGCTTGAGAGGGACACGAGAGTAGAGAGGGAAGAAGGAACATAGAGAGTGAGAGGGAGAGAAGCACCCTCGTCTGAAGAGCCTTCTCGGAGCTGCGCTCGTCGGCGTCAACGGCCCCTCCCCGTCATTCTTCTTCCACGTCTCTGCCGCAGAACCCTTGCTGCTGTGTGCGGCAGCAGCACCGCGTGGGCGTCAAGCGTCTGCTGCAGCGAACGGCGGAGGCTGCAGGGAGGGAGCACGGCGACCCGTGAAAGAGGGAGCGGCGGCGACGACGTGTAGGAGGCAGGAAGGGCTGGAGCGAAGGGCGCAAGGTGTACCGGGGCAGTTCGGGAGAAGATCGGGTGTTACGTGATTGTAGGGATTTCCTTTCTTTTTGGAATCGATAGCGATGCTGGCAGAGTTTTCGTCCAGTGCCTAAAATTGCTAAACGCACATCTAACGAGGATTAGTTATTAATCCTGACGGTTAGATTGATATGAGTGGGCCTGATCTAAGGCTCTAATTGTTTTGGTTTGTTTCGTGTGCATTAGATGGGGTGCAGTTAGTGATGAATATGTTTGCTTGTTTAATAGTAGTATAGATTCATGTATAAAATTTCATGAACATATATATATATATATATATATATATATATATATATATATATATTCATATGTGATGTACACAAAAACGATAAATACATAGATTAAAATAGGCTTTCTCTTTGTTGTATTTGGGTCAAATATTTGTTTTTTGTGTAGCATGCAAATAATCAAATTAGTTGATGTGATTTTATACATACTTGAAGAATATCCATATGTATGTGTAGAAAAAAATGACATTTTTTAAAACTTTTAAATGAACATCATTCTTATTTTATTTTTTGCAAAACAAGCTCCATGGAGCCCGGCATTGCAACGCCACACTCCTTCAACGTGGTGGTGAAGTTCTTGTCGGACGCCTATGGTGACTTGCTTGGCTATAGCATTGACCTTTATAGTGCGCTCAAGCGGCAGGGCCACACGTTAAACTCTTGTTCATGTCACCCTTCCCCAGGGGCGCACTACTAGCAGTGTTCGGGCTGTGCGGGCAACTCCAGCGCTGACCTCTAAACCAGACATGGTTGGCCACCTGCACGTCCACCACCCCGACTGCCACCTTCGTCTCCGCTGGCCTTCTGCTTCTTGAGCGGTGCCGCATTTGCGGCCCTTCGCTTTAAGGCGGCGATTTTGCTACGTTTCCGAGTTGATTTTCCAAGCAAGCGTGATCGTCAAATCCTCCACCACGATCGTCTCTGGCAGCTTCTGCGGGTCCATGCGTCGGCGGCTGCGAAAAAGGAGCGAAATTGGGTGGAGAGCAACGGGATCAAAGAGGGGAGCGGGGGATTTTTTCGCGGAAACAACGCGGCCACCTACAAAAGCATGGGGTCCAACCTAGTTTTTTGTAGGCCTGGGGCGTCGGAGTCCTATGTGGCTCGTGTTCATACTCTCGCAAAGCCCCCCTCGTTTGGTTCCAATTTGCAAGAAAATTGCGCTCCGGCTGCTCCACGGATCAATGAGGTCGGCGTTGGATGGCGTTTGAGGTTTGGACAAGTACGACCGGACAGATACCGGGAGTTTGGGGTCAGCCTTGGATATGCCCTTACCAATGCTCTTGTTTTTGTTACATAAAAAAACCCCTAAAATAATCTTATGATTTGATTGATGAGCTCCACCCCGGACCATGATGGAAGAAAAAGATCATGAACAGTTCGACTCGTTGCCATTGGGATATGGACTATAGGATGATATACCAGCTAACCACTCGAATAAACTTTGGACAGAATCGGTGTACAGGGTGACAGCTGCGCGCGCGATGGGCGGCTCTTTGCTTCACCGACACCACTCTGGCCTCATGCTTGCATCATGACCGCAGGTACATGGTCGTGTGTACCAATCAAACGGGGTTCAGCATGGTAGGTACAAGCCCTGATGCTAGACGTTTGCGCTGAACTAGTCAATGTGTACGTGCAATGCACGTTAATTTAGAAGTATATTAAGTGCCTGTGGATATTAGGTAGGATATTATTTGCGTGTTATTATGTAATTAACATTATATTTGGCATGAAATTAACTGCACACTAAATATTGGATTGACATTGAAGCAGTCCAGGTCGTTGGATTGACATGATTTGATGGCCGAGATTAATTGGATCTGCCCCTTTTGGTCTTTTTATATTGTTATAGATTATAGATTATAAATGTAGACATATCTGTGTTCCTAATGGAGCAGTTGGTAGTCTCAATTTTCGTCCCATTTTCATTGTTTTTTTTTCGTCCTAAAAAAATCTACGAAGAAAAACCAGCGAAAAAACCCGACAAGACCCGAACGCACGCACGCACGCACGGTGCCCTCGAGCGAGAACCTCTAGCACGCACAACTCGTAGAGCAGACCCATTCGCCGCCGCCTATCCCTGCGCTACCTCCACCCCTTCGCCGCCGCCCTCCCATCAAGCCGCCGCCGATCCTGGAGCTACCTCCATCCCTTCGGCGCCACCATCCCATCAAGCCGCCGCCGATCCTGGAGCCATCTACCCCGGGAGCGGCGTCTCTCGCTGCCGCTGTGACGGGATCGCCGCCGCCGAAGTAGCAGAGGAGACGCCGTTGACGAGGTCCAAAGGGTGCCGCCACCTCCAGGAAAGCAGCCGTTCGTGGAACCATACCGCTGCCCGGGATCCACGCAAGAGGTCAGGTGCCGCCTCCATCGTGAGCCAGGCCAAAGGGGACGTCGTCGACATGCCGCCGAGGTCCTATAGGAGCCGCTGCCACCTTCATTGCGGATCTCCAGGTCACCGTCGGGACACCACCGCCGAGGTCCGGCATTGACACAGCCATTTACCACGGTACGTACATCTATTGGGCGCCATCCCGCCTTGTCCGATCTTAGCAGTTGCTTTGATCCCCTTCTCCGTGTGCTCGGTAGTCGCGCAGGGCGGCATGGACAAACGGCTGCCTCCGGGAAGTCGGGAGTCTCCAGCTGCAGGGACGTCGCCGGCCGGGTTACAATCCTTCAGATCCAGCGCGGTGGGGTGCGGTAATCAGATCGGCTCCAAATTCTGGTTGATGGTCTGCGTCGAGCACGACATTGACCCCACCGGCTACTATGTCGGCACCTCCGACCTGCAGCTCGAGCGCGTCAACGTCCAACACAATGAGGCCTCCTGCGGTCGATTTGTGCCCCACACGGTGCTCATGGACCTCGAACGCTGCACCGTGCCCTACAGCCAGATCTCCCCCTGCAATTTTTGTGCTCACCGTGTAGGTGTCTTCTCCAAGGCGTCCTTAGCCTCTGAACATCCCGCTCCATCAAGGTACCTACCCATGTTTCCAATTCCCAAACTGATTCTTTCACTTGGGCCAGAGGACAGTAGCCACCCTAAGATTAATCGTCTGAATCCATTGATAGCACTGCTTTGTTTGAGTTGAATTTACAAAGACTCCCACGGAGCAATGTCGTCTTTGTCAGGCTGTAATTATATGCCTCTGGATGGTCAAACCGGAAAAGTTTATGGAAGATTCAGACTAAATGTAGTGTTCCCTACAATGTTATAGCTTAAGTCTTGCTAACTATGCGCTTGGATATTTTTTTTTCAAGAAATGATGCAAAAATTGTTTGTGAATTGGTTATATACAAGATGTTACAAATATGTAATTTTAATTTTTGGAATGCCGAGATATGTTCAGATGCTTTGTTTACTGCTAAAAAATTGCAGCAGATAAGGACTGAAATTTGCTGATTTTGCTCAACATGGTGCTGCTTGATAATACTCAATCAAGATGAACTGACCATCATTGCTGGTGTTGATTACAGGTACATGCACTGAATTTTCCGTTGTGGCAAAGCTACCGTATTATAATCTTTCTAATTGTTGCTACCACATTTCAAAGGAAGAACACACTGATGCAAAAGAATCTCATTATCTAGCCATATGTAATCACACTTTCTTACTATGCAAACTGTCATAGGAGTAACCCACAGCAATGTCACTCCATTTTTGCTGTCTATTAATCTATGACAAAGGGGATGCGCTGGTGCCCGTGCCCGTTGCTATTCAAACAAAGGAGTAAATCTCGCAATTTTCAATCAATAAAGGTTATCTTTCCTATGGCTTTTGTTATTAGATACATGCAGATGTGTGTCACTTCCTTATATCATATATGGTTCCTAAAGTATTAGATGTTTCATATAACCATCACTTACCTTTTAAAAAAAAATGACCATCAGTTATCCCGTGATCGCATTGGCAGTCCTCGTACATGTATTTTTATCTGCTTTAAAAATTATTGTGAAGCAAAAATAAAGTTGTATGTAAGAATATCCTAGATTGTGTTATCCCGTGATCGCATTGGCAGGGCCACACGTTAAACTCTTGTTCATGTCCATCCTTCCCAAGGGCCGCACTACTAGCAGTGTTCGGGCTGTCAGGGCAAAACCAGACATGGTTAGCCACCTGCATGTCCACCACCACGACCGCCACCTCCGTCTTCTTGAGCGGTGCCTCATTTGCTGCCCTTCGCTTTAAGGCGACGATTGGATCAATGAGGTCGGCGTTGGATGGCGTTTGAGGTTTGGACAAGTACGACCGGACGGATACCGGCAGTTTGGGGTCAGCCTTGGATACGCCCTTACCAATGCTCTTGTTCTTGTTCCATACAAGAAATCCCCTAAAATAATCTTTGGACAGAATCCCCTAAAATATGATTAGATTGATGAGTTCCGAACGGGACCTTGATGGAAGAAAAAGATCACGAACAGTTCGACTCGTTACCATTGAGATGTGGACTATAGGATGATATACCAGCTAACCACTCAAATAAACTTTGGACAGAATCGGTGTACAGGGTGACGGTTGCGCGTGTGACGGGCGGCTCTTTGCTTCACCGACACCGGTCTGGCCTCATGTTTGGATCATGACCGCAGGTATGTGGCCGTGCGTACCAATCAAACGGGGTTCAGCATGGTAGCTACAAGCCCTGATGCTAGACGTTTGCGCTGAACTAGTCAATGTGTATATTAAGTGCCTGCGGATATTAAGTAGGATATTGATACGTCTCCAACGTATCTATAATTTTTGATTGTTCCATGCTATTATATTATCTGTTTGGATGTTTAATGGGCTTTAATATGCTCTTTTATATTATTTTTGCGACTAACCTATTAACTGGAGGCCCAGTGCCAGTTTATGTTTTTTTTGCCTATTTTAGAGTTTTGCAGAAAAGGAATACCAAACGGAATGAAACCTTTACGAGGATATTTGTTGGACCAAAAGCAATCCAGAAGACTTCAAGTTGAAGTCTGGAACTCCAC